ATCAGATCGTCAAACCAATACATACAATATACATGTATCTATGTACATGTATATCTATGAGTTTATTGAACATTGAACATAATCAGTCAAAGCATGCCAGAGATACAGATATTATATTTTACCATGTTTCTTTTACTATTTATGTACTTACACAAGTGAGAATGTTTGTTCCTGTTTTCTACATTTTAAAATCTTTTTTTTTTTAAGTTCTGCTATTAAGTATTTCAAAAACAGTTTCAAAGCGCCCTCACACCTGCATCTATACCTTTAATCAGTTTAAACTTCATTAAGTTGTGCACAACCTGGCATGGATATTATCTTTAATGGTGTTAATTTTGTTGTCATAAAATTTAATGAAATGAATTACAGCAACGACATATTAGTGTTATTAATAGAGTTTGTGATGATGTTAATCACCTAGGTAACAATCCCTGATGATGTCAATCACCTAGGTAACAATCCCTGATAAGTGTTGTTCAGATTCCATTTGTATTTCTTTCAGTGAAAGCAGCATGTTTGTTTCCAATAGAAGATTTATTCTAAAAACCTGTGGTACAACAACCTTACTCTATGCCATGGAGGATATCTTACAGCTCGCTAAAGAACTTGGATTTGAAGAAGTTGAGGTATTGTTGTGTTGATAACCTTAAAAACTAACAAATTTCAACCACCTAATTCTTCAGCAGATTTTCACATTACATTGTATTTACCACATAATGTGCTGTTTTAATTCTCAAAATTTCGTCCACCGCAAATTTGTTCTTCTTTGACTTATGGTTTTTGAAAACAAACTGTTGAACTGATGGAATGGGATGTTAAGGACTCTGGAAGAATAATCTACTATACTTGCGCATAAAAATACCTTACTCTTCAGAGGTTCTTACAGCATTGCTTATTATTCAGTCATGGGTTGATACCAAAAATGTTATTTCTTTGGTTTGCTATAAAATAAAAAAATTTAAGCATGTTTTATTGTGAAAAAATGTTTCACAACACTATCAATCCTGCACAAATGTTTTTTTAGAACACAAGTTGACCTAATATGGTGTCTTTTGACCTGGTAGGTCAAAAATGCCATCAACCAATCAGAATACAGCATGATACCACCAACATATTGACAAATCACATAAATGTAACCCTGAAGTTAATTTCTTTAGTATTCAAGTTGCATTATAATCTGTTGCCATTGAATTTTGCCGTATAATGTTTTTAAAGAGATGATTTAAACTTTTTAAAAGATAAAACGAGTACTGAAAGTGTTAAACCGCTTTTATTATGATAACAAATTTATTTAACCTATTCAACCAATAAAATCTTTTTCTACTGCGCTAACTCTTTCTATTTTCTGCCATGAAACCTCAAATGATTGTGTTTTGACACAAATGTTGTCTTCTACAATAAAACATGTACCATGCTAAGGAATGATTTGGTAATCACTGATTTTTACTTATAATTCGCCTAG